CGGGCCGGGCCACCCGCGCTCCTGCTGCTCCCGCCCCGCCGCAGAGCGCACAGACTGCGGCTGCCTCCTCACGTACCGCATCGCCGCAGCGCGAGCTGCGGGGAGGTGTTTTTTTTAAAAGGAAAATCGGGAAAATAGGCTGAGGGGAAGAATTATAACGCGGGAAGCTTGCGGGGTGGGGAAGGTGAGGACTGGAAAAACAGAGAGCGAGGCGCTGTTTGTACCATCGGCTTCACCAAGACTGCTCCTGTCCTATAATTAACGCCCCCCCACACACACACACCCTACTTTAGGCTGTGTGTTGGAGGGGGACATACATCTAAGAGCAACAGCATCTCTTTTCACACATAAAATATAATCGTGATACTCACATTTCTCCGCCCTGGTTCTTCTATTCCTCCCCCCCCCGTTTTTTTTTTTTTTAATTTTTTCCCCTCCCCGTATCTGTGACTGATTCTTTTTGAATGAATTTTGGAAGGTCGGGTTTTGGGGTTTTTTGTGTTTTTTGGGGGGTGGGGGGGAGGTTGAAGTTCCAGCTGGCAACAGCTCTGTCTTCCCCAGGACTTGAAAGGCTGATGTCCCTTGCAGGAAATGAATGAGTCGATAACATCTGACACCAGTGACCAGTCCAGTGACCCCAACCTTAATTCCACTAATACTGGAGGCCTGCAAATTTCAGCAAGGCCCGCTTGCAAGCTCCCCTCCCCCCGCGCACGTACCTTAATACAACCCGCATTTATTTTGTAGTGTAGGAAATCGCTTACAGCTCTCTGGTATCTGCATTCAGCTTTTTCCCCCCTCCTTTTCTTTTGCTACTTACACTCTCCTCCCTCTGTTCTCATAAAAACCTCAATTCAATATTGAATTTCCAAAAAAAAAAAAAAAGTCAAACTTGCTGGAAACAAAGGACACTGTATCCAAGAAAAAAATTGCTTGTTTGCGAGCAAGATCTGCAAGGTATTTTTCAGCTGCATTTCGGTACAGGAATCCAGTCTGACGAAAATAAAGCCCCGGAGTCAGATATTGGTTAAAAATAAATAAATTAAAATAGTTCTCTGTATAGATGTCTTAAATTTTCATAAAGGTATCACATGTGAGACACGGGATATTTGTATAACCATATTTTGTTACGCCAAATTAATTTGGTTTTCAAAAACCTAATATTCTCCTCTTCAGCCGCCCTGAAGATGACGATTGTAATTAGTAATACCATTATTGCTGTGGTTATCATCATCATTACAACTATTACTACTACTATTATGTTTATGGTGGGATTCAATATATATTCCTCATATATAATCATTACTACTACTACTATTACTACGTTTATAGTAGAATTAAATATATATTCTTCAAATGTGATCATTTCTATTACTACTACCACCAGTACTACTATTATTATTATTATGTTTATAGTTGGATTAAATATATATTCTTCATATATGAAAAATCTCCTTTATAATCTTCCAGGTACATAAAGTGATGTGGCTACTGATTTCGCCTAGTACAAAAAATCGCAGTGATAACAGAGGGGAAAGGGGGAAAAAAGTAGTGGTCTATTGCACGAATGTGTAAGGCAGGTCAATGTAGGAAGTCGACCTCCACTGTTGAAATAACCTATAGGAAATTTACGGTTGAAGACTGCAAAGGAATTTCAGGATTTAGAGCTTCTGCTCCACTTGCCAGATTGCTTGTATTTTTACACTTTTGCCCACCCCCCGCTCCTTTCTACCAAATGTTCAGAACACCTTGGTATTTCAAACAAATGAAACGCTATTGAAAGCGATTCGTGCACTTTCCGGGCGGGGGGGGGGGAGCAACAAAAGGCGTAAACAGGCCCATCAGAGCAAAGGGGGCTTTCCTAATCGGGCAGACTGATTGACGCCAATTTCAAAACAACAGCAAGTGCCTTGCAATGCCATAAAAACCCATTTCACCAAGATCTGCGTGGATCACACAGTCAGTTGTTTTTTTGGTTTGTTTTTTTTCCATGCATGTATTTTCGGCGTGGATGGGCTCGGAGGGGAGGGGTAAAGCGACTTCAATAAGAAAAGAATTCATAGCAGTGCCGGAAGATTTTAACTAAGGCTAAACTGATCTAATCTAAGCTAAATTTTGAATAGGCAGAGGATATTTCCCGTAAGAAGAGTTTCTGTCAATTGGTTGTCTGGTGGAGGGGGGGGGGCGGCGTGGAGAAAACGACCCATGTTCATACCCACCCAAAACAAGGTATTTTGTCCACGTCCTTCATGCCAAAGGAAAAAGAAGAAAATAGGCACTTTTAAGCTATTCCTCCCCTCCCCCAGCCTATTAAAACGTATTAATTGGGTAGTGGAGCAGTGGAACTGATGTGTACGTGTGTATGCTAATGTGCCTGAGTCCCTAGGAAATTCATGAAGGGATGTATAGGCTATCCAGCCCATCATATACACACACACATGCATACATACACACACGTAAGGGCGTGGGAGTAGGTGTGGGAGTCCTACACACACACACACGCGCGCGCGCGTGCGGTCGTGTGTGTGTGTGTGTGTGTGTGTGTGTGTGTGTATCCGGGGACGGTTGTGTGTTGGACTCCCACACCCCCTAGATTTAAAATTGCATCCCCCAGGCCAGCACTATTCCTCTTCCCTTTGTCTTCTTTTTCCAGTTCCCTCTCTTCTCGTCTTCCTCCTCCCTTCCTTCTCCTCCTTTTCTCTTTTAGTCCTTCCTCCTCCACCATGCTCCTGCGTAACAATCGCTGCTGATTGAGGTTCACTCTAATGTTAGAATTGGAAACTGGGCTCTTATTTAGGAAGTCATTAATCACATCCCCTCCCCCGGAAAGAGATGGCGGAGAAACCTGTGAAGTACAATCCCTCACCCCATCCCCCATAGAAATGTTTTGAAATGCTAAACCCTCAATACATTGTGAACCATATTAAGGTGAGATCGCGTTTCCGGCATGCTTTTAATTTGAATATGGAATTAAGTCATGTGAAACAAAGGAAGGAACCCCAGCGATCATCTACGTGCGTGCTTAGATCGAGTGTGTAGAGACACTGAATCTAAAGTTTCCCTGGGAAAGTTATTCTGGTGGAAGTTAACATAAAAAGGTGACTACCCTCTGAAACACTGAGAACAAGTCAAATTTTGGCCAGCGGTATGAAAAAATCAACAGAATAGACGAAAAACAAAAGGCCGGTTATAATGGAAATGTGCTTAGCTATTGAAATGTGCTCAGAGGCTTTTGTTAAGGAAGGAGCGGCACTGGCGTGGTGAATATTGTGTGTACAAGGTAACATGCAGTTAGGTGGGCATGTGTACATACATGCTGCATGCCTGACACTGCGTGCACATGAGCATGCTTGATCCTGATCGTACTTTCGTGGATCCTCCCCCCTGTACATGTATGGTAATAACCTCAGCCGCCTGGTTGTGCGGACACGTGTACAACTCTCGAGAGGTGTACAAGGAGTTACATAGCACTTGGGTGATAGGAAGTGCACGGATCTCTCTGCAGATCCGTCCATTCCCCCGCGCCGCGAAACCCCTCAACCCACGTCATCTTGATTTCCCGTAAAAGAAGTGTGCAAATGAGCTGATAGCCACCGCGTTTGCCATTTCTTGTTCATTCATAAATTATTGCGGTGTGTCAGCCTGGTTGAAATGGCGATTGGCTACTCCTGCCTCCTGCCAACCCCTTAAGGAGCCGATGTGAAATTAGTAGCGAGCGAGCATGTAATTGACCAAGTCACGTGTGCGCAGGGGGCCAGGAACAGAGGGAGCGAGAAGGGGAAAAATCAAAAGAGGGAAAGCACATTAGACCATGCGAGCTAAATTTGTGATCGTTCAACATCAGGATGTTAGATTGATGCAGAAGACCACTTCGATCCAAAGGGAAAGTTTGCATCTCACGAGTTTGGAGCCGAGGGCCCGTGGAGCAACATGGCCGAAGGTTAATTTTCTTTTTCTATTGTTTTACTATGATTTTCTCTCTCGCTTGCTCGCTCCCTCCTGCCCCCCCCCTTTTTTTTCTTAACCCAACTATGCATTACCCTTTTTGATCAGCTCGCTCAAGGGGGCTTTCTGCAACCCTATTGTTACGGCTCTCCAAAACTGTTCCGCACCGCCCACCCCGATTCACGACTTGAAAAGCGTTCAGGGGGCTATTGTTTGAATTGTTCCTGTTTGATTAAGCGCAAGTTTCAGCGGCGGGATGAGGGACCGTCTGTACACCTGTCCCCCCAACTTTAATCGAAACTTTATTCCGGGCAGGGATGGATGCACGCTGGCAAACAGCAGCGGAGCCCCCGCTGCATGTGCAATAACAAGTTGTGCAATCTCGACCCAATTTTTTTTTTTTTGTGCTCCTTCTCTTCTCTTCCCCCCTCCCCCCCGGCCCCTCGCCTTGCAAGGAGAGAGCAATTTGGCTGCGAGTCCTCTTGGGAAATGGGATCGGTTTTAAACCAGCAATATTCAAGTAAAGTATCGTGGGTGGCTGGAAGATGGAGTGAAATTAAAAAAAAAAAAAGTCTGTTGAGAAACTTGGATTTCTCCGTGCGGCAGAGAGAGGGAAGAGGGAGAGAGCAAGATCAGAAGGCTGCCTTTCCGCCTGTTGCCCCGCAGGGTTTGGGGGTTTGCTGCCCCGGTGGAAAGGCGGTGGTCGCCGAGTGCGTAGCACCCGCACCGGGACGGGCGCTCTTTGCCGGGCATCTCCTGTTCTGATTTTTTCCCCCTTTTTCTTTGTTTTCCTCCTCAGCAGGGGCGAGTAAAGGTGGAGACGAGCCCGGAAAGCTGCCGGAGCAAGAAGAGGAGGAGGACTCCCAGGTTTGGCGTGGAACAGGCCATTGCAAATGGTTCAACGTGCGCATGGGATTCGGGTTCATCTCCATGATCAGCCGGGAGGGCAGCCCCTTGGAGTCCCCGGTGGACGTCTTTGTACACCAAGTAAGGCTCACTGTTGTCTCCCATCTTCTACCCGGGTCCCCCGCACCTCGGGCTCCGTTGTTCGCGGCCCTCTGGCTTCCCGGGGAGGAGGGAGACGAGCTCTCCTGCTAGAAAGATTGTGCTACAGAGGTCATTGTTACCAATAAGTAGATGCAGGCATTACAGCTTGCCCGATCCGAGCTGCCCATTGCACGTCCCCGTTCAAAACTTCAGAGGAGCTGAGCATCTGTGGCGGGGGGGGGGCGACCTGCCTCCTCTGGCTGGTGGGTTTTGCTGAAGCACATTGTGGCTCTTAGCAGTTTACTCCTCGGCTGGAGCCCTCTTTGCTCTGGCTGCTGCTTCTCCTTCTCTTTCTAATCACATGTCCCATTTTAATAGTGGGACATAGCTTTATCCTCTGCTCGGGAGCTTCCTAGGTCCTTTTCCTGCAAAAGCCAAGGAAGAAAACAGACATAGAATAAGATACATAAATCCCGATTCGATAGGATACATAAATCCCTTAGGACATCAGATTCGAAATCATTGTAGCAGCCTTCTTCCTTTACAATTCATTTGAGATATTTTATTTTATTTTTTGGTCTTGTTTGTCTCAGATTATTTTGGTGCAAATAACATATGATTAAGAGTTTTATCTTGTACATGTGAAAACAAGCATGGGGTAATTAAGATCTGACTCAACACTGGGTATCGGGGTTTTCTTGTTTTGTTTTTAATTTTTCTCTTCTGGAAAATGTGGGCAGGAGACAGCGAGCACAAAAGGTGCTATCTCTTTAAGGCCACTATTCAAAAAGCATGTGGTCATTGTTTATATCTTTAAACACCTGACTGTTATTTACATGCTTATTTTTGAGCCTGGAAACTCTCCTGCCTTTCTTGGAAGGTGTTTCAGGTGCACAATGCATGTTCATCAGGAGGGTCAGAGGACTTTCCCCAGGGTTTGTGAGAAAAGAGTGTGTGGACCTTCCCCATGCTTGTATTAATCCAAAACTGCAAGTGTCTTGAATTTCACTAATCTACTCAAAAGTGTTGAGCTGTTGTTCAAAGAACTAAAGAGGAAGATTTACAAAGTAACAGAGACCCTTTTGGGGTTCAGCTCTGGCCATGTCAGGAAAAATAAAGGCGTTTTCATGTCCATTTTATATGACATTTTCAGAGAAACGAGGGGAGGTTTTTTTTATGATTGTACAAGGCTTTATTGTTCTTCTGTTTCTGTCTGGATGGCCTAGTTTTGTTCACATCTAGTTGTACATTTGGGCTAATTTCACGATTCACATTCAAGGAATATACTTACGATGAAGCTGATAAGAGGTAACTGAAACCTAGGGAACAATGCCTTGCTGGCACCTTGCCTTGCCCCTTGTGGTAGTGTTTGAGTAGATTTTTGACCTTGTTGTGCTATTTCCACCCCTGCCTCCAGAGCCTAGTCATCAGTATTATCTGTTTACATGTGGAATGAGCTATAAACTGTGAAATCAAATAGAGGTGTTATTGTTAATATAAAAGAAAGACTACATGGTTTTAATTTCTTACATTTCCTGCTTTGTGCTGAAAGTGAAGCTGCTCCTTCCTTGCTGCTATTTTTTTCTGAGTTTGAATTATTGAAATCCTTATCAAATCTGATTGCAATCAGTCTCTTTGCCCTCTACCCCTGTCTTTGAACCATAAGTCATGAAATTGCTCTTTACCATCCCATAACTTTACCTTATAAATGAAGGGAAGAAACAACTTCTAATCATACTTTTCTTACACTTTGTTCTCTTTTCGTTTCTCACATGGAAAACCAAACGTCCAAAGGACAGCAATTTTATTAATAAAATAAATCTACTTGAAAACAGGGGTATACTTATACTTGAGTAACTGCAGAAAGTGTTAAACTATCACTATGGGGAGGAATTAGCTAGTAAAATAAACCATGTTTATTTGTTTACATAATGGAAAATATTCATAGAAGAGCAAAAGATAATCTAATACATTTGTGGGAAATTTGGAAGTCAATTTGTCTTTTGTGTCACTTACAAGATGTGGACATTCAATAAGCTAAAATGAGTTGGCTGGTGTCTGCAAGGGGGGAAGCATTTGAAATGTAAATGTTTGCAGATGCTGTATTAATATACATGCCATCACTTTTTTTATAGATTTTAAGATGTCTGCTGATATGCAGTGCACAAAAGCTTGTGCCTCACAGTGTTAAACTCTGAACTTCAATTATTTTGGATATTTCTCAGATAAATATCTTAATGCACTAATTTATCAGTGATTCACACAGCATCACCCTTAAGACAATAAATAAATTAGTTTTCTATCTTTCATTTACTTTTTCTTTCCCCCTTGTGAAATCTTGCGAGCATAGTGTTTTCCTACTTTCTCCCTTCATTTGGTGAACAGTAACATTTTCTGCTCAAAAAGGTTTAATATAATCAGAAGAAAGCACTATCTTATTATAGTTTAATACAGAATACATTATGATACCTGGCTAAGTTATAGGAAAGTGACTAAGGCAGTCACAAAGCTTAAAACAGAAATATTATGTGAGAATACATTTAATACTATTACAATAGTGTCTAGTATCAGTGAGCTTCATTTTCTAAAGTTCTACTCATTCAGTTATTTATTAATCATGTGAGTAGCCCCATGAAGTCAGAAGGATTGCTCATGTGAGAAAAGGTTTGAAATCATGTTATGAATCTGTCATGAAAAGTAGCATATCCTATTTCATAACTAGCATGTCTTCTAATGTAGCATGCACACATACAGTGGCATGGTGGGCAAACAGCTACCCTGCAACCTTGTTGCTAGTATGTATTGTTGAATTGTACATATTAAGGATGTGAAAAAATACATGTCATTTAGGCCCTACCAGTGCAAGCTTGCTCTCTACAAAACCATTTGTAGGGTCTGGTCTGCTCAAAATATCAACTTTCTAAATGATTAAGAAGTCTAACCTGTTTGCTTTATTTATTTCAAGCCTAGGAAAAGTCACTGAAAAGACTTTTCTTCTACTTAGTCCTAGTTCTTTTAACTAATTGTATTCATTATACCAAGTTTTATTTACTTGTAATAATAATTTATCTTCTGATCTTAACACCCCTCAATTATTTGTGGACTACAGCTGTCCTCTGTGTTCAGTCACTGCTCCGCTGAGCTGTTTATATTTAAAATTTTAATTTACAGTCCAGTACTTTTGTGCGCACATCTATTTAAGTCAGTGGAGATTCTGCGCATAGAGTACTTGAAGTAGTGAGCTTTTAACCTTTCCTTCTAAGTCTTTCATTTCAGTATTCTAATCACTGTGATTGATCTTGTGTGAAATACCTTCAGTTTGTTACTATCTTTCTGAAATGTGGTACCTGGGTGGAAACAAGTCTGAGTGATTTGTGTGTGTGTAATGCAAATAGGGTATGTTTATAAACATTTACATTTAAGTCCTTTTCCATTTTTGCTTGCATCTTTCTGCCTATATAGCTAACATCTTAAAGTTTAATGACCATGTTTTTCATTCTTGTCTGGAAAATGTAAAAGGCTAACTACTCCTCTTCTTTTAAATTTGATCTCAACTAAATTTCATGAATCTATTTATTTTTTTTGTACAAGAAACATAGTGAGCCAAATTCAGGCTGGTGGAACTTTGTTGACTTCAGTTAAGTTGTAGGTAAGTGGATTTGGTTAATATTAACATCTACACCAGTGATTCTCAACCAGGGTGCCACAGCACCCTGGGATGGTTTGCGATTCTTTCAAGGGTGCCAAGGAGTGCCAAGCAATGTTAGCACAGCTGGGTGTGCAAACACAATTCACAATATATACCCAGAGATTGCCAATAGGAATCCACAGTATTAAAAATACTCTTGTCTTTCTGAGTTCTTTACAACAGGAAGATTGCTCTATTTTTCTGAGGTGAAAAAACAAGTGAAAACTAAGAGCTGGCATTTTTAAGGGGTGCCTTGAATCTCAAAAGATTGAGAACTACCAATCCACAGTTTATATCAACTGATGTGGAAGTCACAATAGAATATCTCTCCCTTGCTATGAGTTCTTCCACAGATTTTTGCATGACCAGTCCCTATTAACCTTTAGTAGGAGCTGCATATCTTTCTCAAAGGACAAAATTGGGTATAATGAAAGTGCAATGACATAACCTTCTTGTGACACTGCATATGTTTAAGTGAAGCTGTTTACAAAAGTTCATAGTTTTATAAAATAAGGGTTTTATGTGGTGGTTTAGTCCTAAGATCAGAGCAAAAAGATTTTCTTTTGTAGTAAGTTTCCATGCATATGTGCTTGAACATAATTTCTGGAAGCTGCTGGGTAGATACAAATTACTTTAGTTTATGCTGAAAAAATGTTTAAATTCTATGGTTTGCCTGATAGCCCATGTGGCTGCAAAAAGGCATATTGGTTTTAAGTGTAAATAGGTACAGTTAATACAGGTACAATTAATAGGTGTTTATATACATGACAGCTGCATAAGATAATTCTGTCTCTGAATTTTAAGGACAAGCTTAGATACATTATTTTGCCTGGTCTTGCAATCCAAAATTTGCATTTTCTTAATTCTGTGTGTATATATGTATGTGTGTAGATATACATGTGTATATATATGCATAAAATAAAATGTTTTGAATCAGTATTTAGAACAAAGTATTTATTGATGTTCTGGTTACTATTGAGCACTATTTAAAAAAAAAACTATTTTTAAAGTGTAATTTTTTCTAGTATTATTGTAGGTTACACTTGAGACTAATGTAACTGGAAGAAATGACAGGGTTCCCCTCCATCACCTTCATTTAGTTTACTTTATGCATTTCACAGCACTCTGTATATTATTAATTTCACATTTGTCCCTATTTTAGTTGGTCCTTAAAATGGGTTTAATTGCAAGAGCAGAAATGCTGAAATAATAAAGGATGTGAGTGTAAAGACAAACATTTCACTGGGGAATTTAAGGCAGATACAATAACAGACTATTAATCTGTTTTTTTAATCATTAAATTTCTCCTTAA